CTTCTAGAGATTTAAATGATCAAATCAGCAATTTTCTTTTAATTTATCGAAATGTGACAAACACCAACAACGAGCACACCAATCCATAAATTTTCTACCCTAAGTGAATCAGTCATATGCGAGAACGAGTAATACTCACGTAACTCTTCAAAACGTCACTTTTAGTACACACACCATAAATCTTACGCCAAGGGGGACCCACCTTAAGGACCATTTAAGGAATTAAGAACTGGAAACAGTATCGCTCGCTTGACTCGTTCCTTTATTTATACGGAGTGGCTCCAGGGCCTGAAAGTTTGAGCGGCCCACTTGCCGAGTGATAAGGGGACGGTCCCCAGCGAAGAGTTTTTCTTTAAGATGGTCATAATCACGTTACGTCGGGATGACAAGGGAGACCAGAAAACGGAGTGCCCGGATCCGTCCTCGAATTCCGGGCGATTTCAGTCCCTCGGATCCTGGTGCACCGAGAGCAGGCCCTCGTCTTATAAATATTTACGCTGAATTCTTGAAAACGTCAGGCCCATTTGCAGGCGGGGACCACCGCAAACGAGGCGCGTTCCCCCTTCTCTGGTCCTCTCCCTCCTGGGACAAGGAGAGGCGGACGACGGAGCCTTGGTGTTGAATTACGCCGTCGCGTCGGGCCCCTTGGACTTGGGTGTGTCGAGACGCCGAGACGTCGGGGCGCGTAATGTCGAGACGCTTCCGCAAGATATTAACAGGATGGCGATGCAAGGAGGAGATAAATAGCTCTTTTCATGTTTCCTCGATTATCGGAGATTAATAGAACGGTTTGCCGGGCTCCCGGCAAATGTACCGTTTCCAATGCACCCGGAGTAACTTTTCGTTCCCTATGCAGTTAGGACGCGGTAGATGCAGTCTTTGAGCACTCTCACTATGAGATCGGAGGGTCTTCGATGCATCCGAACTCTTTTCAGAGCCTATAGGTACCCTTTGAAACCTGGCTTCATTTTTCAAAGTCAGTAGTCTAATTACCGACACTAATCACAGGTCGTACTTCCCTCCTTTCTCTCCGTCGGTTCCGAGCCTCTCTTGGGTTTGCCTCGTTGCGAGGGTTTTTCATCACCGGTGCAAAAGATGTTCCATGTTCGCTCCTTGCGTTCAGCGTTGAGGAGGAACACGGTGCTGTGATTTTACCTCACCTGTTGCATCTAGAGTCGAGTGCACCCGATAGAGTGGCCACGAAGAGCCGCTCCGGTTCGCGAAGGACTGTCGAATTTGCGATCTCTTGTAACATATGCGCAAACCACCGTACAAGATTGAGTTCTGACCAAGGACAGTCAAATTTGCGATGTTTTGTAACATATGCGCAAACCACCGTGCAAGATTGAGTTCTGCGAATTTGCGATTTCTTGTAACATATGCGCAAACCATCGTGCAAGATTGAGTTCTGGCCAAGGACGGTCGAATTTGCGATTTTTTGTAACATATGCGCAAACCACCGTGCAAGATTGAGTTCTGACCAAGGACGGTCGAATTTGCGATTTCTTGTAACATATGCGCAAACCACCGTGCAAGATTGAGTTCTGGCCAAGGACGGTCCATTTCAGATACCCAATTTTCGAGGCACAGGTGTCGAGCATGCCGAACCGTTCTCCTCTCCTGCGAAGGTCGCCACGATCGTGACGTACAACTTGCCTCTTTCGGAGATGCATGCTTCGCGCGAACGGAAATGCGCAGGTGGGTGCACCTGCATCTTCGCTCGGCTACCCCTACCGACTCCGGGCTCGATCAACTTTTTGGTTTCAGGTCTATCACGACCTGTTTCGGGTGTGTCGACGTTTGTGCACCCTATAATTACGGTAGGAAATCTAGTGATTTCCTACCGTTCTTTCTCTCTTTTTATTTTTTTTTCTTTTTTCTTTTTGGGTATATCCGACGTGCGCGTTAGCGACCGCAAATGTAATACTCGCATGCACGCGTCGTTAACGTCACTCCGCCCAGCGTGCAGGACGCGTAACGAAATCCCTAGGTCGGGCAGGTTACGCCGACGCGCGACCGTGCAGGGGCAACCTGCACCTGTGGCCGAACAATGGGGGCCATTGTTACCAAATTTTGGCAACGTCGCGCTTACAGAAGTAAGCCGATATCCCTGGGGGCCCCGCTACCTGGCTGGGTGGCACCGGGCATACCTGTGCAGGTTAGAAACCTCGTGGCTACCTTTAAAGTCGAGGAAAGAAGACGGAGCCTGAAGTGCGCGGATTTCTTAGGGGATTTTTACCGCAGGAAGCTCTTCAAGTATTTCGAGGATACGTTTACCGGGAAACTGCCCGAAGGGAGGGACCGAGTGGTGGATCGTCCCCGTAAAACCACTCGGCGGGTAATTGTGTCGACTATTGTACCACTGTACGAAACTATTCAGTAATAAGGTTCGGTCCTTGGAAGGAGACTTTTTAGTCGAGCGTTTCAAATCTTCATCTTTGTATCTTTCTCGGTTGATTTCCGATCGGTTTATCTTTGGGCTGTTGCAACGGTCGGCGACGTGTCTAGAATCCATAATAGATTTAGATCAATACCGTCGAAATGTCAAGAGATTAAAATTCACTGAAAGTTGGCTGTTGAAAATCTCTGCGAAGTCACTTTCCATGGTGATCCCGTAGCTCGACTCCGATAATTGCTTCTCTGGCGACGTGCACAAATGCGAACCCTAATTAAACGCTAAACTGTTATTTTAAGCTTAATAACGATCTTAATAGTCGGCCGAGTAACTACTCCGTCATTATACAGATTGCACATTTTCTGCTGAATTAACATCCGCAAGGCTGCGTAACGCCGACTCATAATTCGTGCCATCGGGCGAAAGCGTCCACGCTGCCTCTGCATTTCTTCAGATTTTGAGCTTACGTCACTTCCGGGCAGCTTTCCTTCCTAATTTCGAATTCATAACACTCTCACGACCTAGACAATTTCCTCCCCCAAAAGAAACGTTATCATACAAAACTTTACGACCGGTAAATTCGGTATCACTGAGCGATGAAACCTGCACTTTAACCCTTTGCACTCCCAATTATTGAGATGTCGATTGCTGATGTCGTGTCACACTCGACAAAGGAATGCAAAGAGTTAAACCATAGTTGGTGGCCATCATTAACAGAGGTTGTCACGACAGCGATTGCTTTTCATTTGAGGAGAGAAAGCGGAAAAACTTAATCCACATTTTCCGAGGTCGCGCGAGATCCATCTGCCGCCATCTTCCGCGATTTGTCGGTTCACCCGAGACTCGTACTGTAAACACGGGAGAACAATGCGCTTCTTGCAACATCCGAGGCATCCGGCGGCATCATCAAGCGTGTCAGCTTGGACCAATTACAAGGCTGGAAAAAGGAGTGCCCGCGAATTACAAGAGCGCGGTATGCGAGGGAGAGAGAGGGAGAAAGAGAAACCGAGATCGTCGCGCATATTCGCCCGTCTAACCATTCGTAGGGGTTACGATGTGTATTCCGTTCCCTGGAAAAGTCCATAAATACAGCCGTAATTGGTTGCCGAGGCGGCAGGTGTCCACCTCGTATAGCGAAATTTCTCGCCGCGGTTCGCCTCGCGTGTCGGCCGATCGTTTCGCGAATCTCCCCAACCAGCAGCCTCGATAGCGATCGCCGATTCGCATTTTTTACGAGAATTTCCGATTACGAGCCAACGTCGCCCCTGACCACACTCGAAGAAACCTTTCGTTCTGGGAAATTGAAATTTATTCAAATGCGCGCTTATTCAGCCGTTTCCCTTCCACGAAGCGCGAGAAATGGAGTAGACGCAAGGATCGATGGTCATCCGAGGGACGTGTAGCGGGGCGAATTAAATATTCATTATATCTAAATTCCGTTAGTGCCAATGACTGTTCGAGGGAGGTTGACAAGCGCGCCGGTTAAATATTCATTACGTCGAATGGATCGTATCGAGCTTTTTTCGAGCATAACTGACGTCGCTTTAGCTGGACATGAAACGGCGGGACGTTGATGTGTCAACTGCTGCAGTTTAAAATAACCACGTTAGTGGTGATTATGAGATCTCCGCTAATGAGGCAATAGGAATGGTAACAAGAAGTTTGGATTTTAACGAAGGATAAATATCCGGCGATTATATCAATGACATTAATGCTTGGCATTTGCGAAAAGCAATTTCTGAGGCGGAAAAACGGTGAAAAATCGGTACGGTGGAATGTGAAGACTTTTTTGCCGGTCGTTTATTTATGCTTGCACGCGTGGAGAACACGCGGATACGCCAAACCAGACTGGAATCTAACTTCTCTTCTTATGCTCCTCTGGTACGGCGCGTTCGCCTGCCAATGAATAGAAACCGTCTAAAAACGAGCTAAGCTTCCTGGCTACACTTCTTGACCTTGTGAAATATATGTTCCAATTAAGGAGTCTTATCGCGCCACGATATATCCTACGAGTACATACTGTAACGAATTACGCAATGGATGTACCTGGTCTGGATGGTCTGGAAAGGTTTCAGCCAGTTTCTTTTTTATCAACTTATATTCATGGCTCAATTAAAATAATGATTCAATTCTCTGAAACGATTTATCAATTTAATTCATTGCCAGTGGTTTTTGGAGACATTTGGGGTAATTCATCCAATGGTCATAAATAATTTCGTATAACAAGCGTTAAAAATTCCCCGAGTACTTAATAATCACCGCGATTTATAAGCCGCTTTCCGTAAACTTATTTTTATACCTAAATTTATAAACTCATAAGGTTACAATGAATATAAATTAGCGAGGCAATTTCTCGGTTAATTAAACCGGAGTAATCGAACGTCAGTTTTTCATCGGGATTCTTTTTCCCGTGGGAAAACTTTCTATCGAATTCCCGCCTCGTCGATGCGTCCATAGCGACGAGAGAACCGGCCAGTCTGGCGGACTTTCTCTCGCTCGAATCGGCTCAATGAATCGGCATGCCGATTTCATCGGCCAAGGTGATTTCGGTACTCGACATTCCTCTCGGGGTAAATCCTGAAACGTTCTTCATTCCATGTTTCAGGTTCTCCTTGCGAGCACGACGGGATATGCGTGAACACGCCGGGCTCCTTCGCGTGCAACTGCACCCAAGGATTCACCGGTCCGAGATGCGAGACCAACGTCAACGAGTGCGAGTCGCATCCTTGCCAGAACGAGGGATCGTGTTTGGACGACCCTGGAACGTTTCGTTGCGTCTGCATGCCTGGTAAGTCATTCCAGATATCCTCTATATTTTTCCTATCTTTTTTGTTCTGTAACCTTCAGCAATGATATAGCATAAATATTCATAGGATATCCCAGATACGCACATAGAGTATAACATGAAAAGAGATACAGATGGAAATTTTATATAAAAAGAAGTCACGGAGAACGATAGGATGTACCCATTTATAAACACTTAGAATTCTCTTCTTTCGCGCGGCAAGTACTTTTCCTCCGTCCGATCGTCCTACCTCATTTTTGCAACCTCGTTCTCGCATAACCTTGGCCAACTCTCCGGTTCGCTTAAATGTAAAATCCAGCATCTGAGAAACGTCGAATTTCCCGAATAAGATGAAATGGTCCGAAGGATCGGTGCCGTCCATCCGTAGCCCTGCGACCACCTCGAGAGTCCCGGACCCGACTCAACCCTCGGTCGTTAAGGCACGCTCGGAACGAGTCACGCAGGAAGCGCGTCATCGGCTCATTGTAATGCACGTCCCGAATTTTGGGTTTTCCTCCTCGGCGACCTTCGGCCGGGGAGGAAGTGCGAACCCGGTGCAGGAGTCGCACGTGGAGCGGCTTTAGCGCGCCGCGGTGAGATCCGCGAGTCCCGATAGGGCCGGGGTCCGGTAACCCTCGGCGTTCGGTGTCGTCGGTAAATTCTTCCGAGATGACAAGCTCTCTATCTGATACCGAAGAGAGATCCCAGGGTCGCGCGGGGGAAGGGAGAACTCCCGGGCCGACCAGGAACTCGTTACCTTTGTCACGCGTAAGTCAGCCTTAATTGTTTGACACTCCCGGCTAGGCCGAGAGGCCCGACCACGAACGGAACGGAAAGAGAGGGGAGAGATAATCGATCTGCCGGCGTAGAGGGCGTACGGAGAGGAACCGAGAGAGATCGGTAATCGCCCTCGACCCCGCCGCTCTATCCTATCGATATCCTCCTACTAACGCGTCAGGCGATCTTCCGCGATAAACTTCAATTAAGTGGACTTCCTTCTCCCCTCGAATGATACTTTCGGAACGCGACGGATTCTCTACCCGCGCCCAATCTCGTCGTTCGCCCGAAGGGTTCCGACATGTTCACGGATGATATTTTAGCGATTAGGGTTGCACCTCTATGCACGGTTTGTATAAATTGAGTGGATGGCCAAATGGTCGCAGGTGTCGGAGGATTTGTTTCTCCCGGAGAGGTGCCTTTAGGCGTCGATAAACACCGGTACAGAGGAGCCGATTAATAATCAATGCTCGTTTCTGCCTTACTTCCACTCTCATGTAAGATCATTATTTTAATCTCGCCATTAGCCTTAATCCCATAATCGTTAAAACACTTCCGGGAGTAGCGGATTTCACCCAGACGAGCGGATCCTTCCTCGCTCGCTGGGACCCTGCGGCGCAACAAATGGAGCATTAAACGCGATAAACGCACGTTCGAAAATTGCTCCATCAATTATTCCGCAGTCGGATGATTTCGCCATTTCGCTCCGGACGGCGGAGTCCGCAGGGACGCGAGGGGCCGATTTATAGCGCCGATTCGGAATCGGCAAGGGGCCCAAAGTACGCCGCCGCGATGCCCGACGTCTTCGCGCGAGTGTGAAAAAGCGCGGCGCCGGGGCGACGGTAAATCGAGACGGTTCACCGAGAAAAATATTGTCCAATTAACGAAACACGCCTCGCACCTAAGGCTTTCTCCGTGTCCTTAACGAATTCGCCCTTTCGTCTCGACGCGAGCTTTTATTCCCCACTTCCGACTAATGATACAGGGAACTCGGCAGGCTTCTGCATATCATTAGAATTAGGCGCATCGCTCGAATCTCTTTGGTTCAAATGGTAAACCATGTATCCCGTGCGAGTCAATTGCCGCGGAATGACTAGGCCCATCCAATTTATCGCTTTCCGCCGATTTTATTTTATATAAAATTGAAAACACTGATCTGTGTAGGAACTGGATAGTCGACGCTCCCCAAAGCGATGTAACAATTTGAACCAATTCCACCGTCTCTCGTGAATTAATATCGTAGTACTTGCGCATGCGTCAAAAGCAGCTCCTGCATTGGAGCACGCGTTAGTTAGTACCGTGGACAATATTTGGCGGCGCTGGTGTGCCTTCAATTTGTCTCAAAGTCCTGTGTATGGATCGAATGGGAATCAGGTATCTAGTTTATAGATCGGGGACCACGAACCGCATCCCTTTGGCATCAGCTCTCAAAACGTAAGAACCCTCCTTTCCGTTGGTTCCTCAGGCGGCAGAAACGCAACCGAAGCCGAGTCCTTTGCGCGGATCTTTTAAACTCATCCTCTCGAATTACCCGAACCTTTGTCTGCCGCGTAATCGCGTTTTTTTCGTTTTTTTGTTTTTTTTTTGCGAGTGCACTCGACCACCGGCTTCGGCAGCGGTTCCCGCCAAGTCAGAAACCCTACTCCGTTGATTCACTCGTCCGATTGAATCGCGGAGACGAATGCGAGGGCGCTCGTTGCGCGGAGCTCTCAATCGTCCTCTCGAATTACCTGGGCCCTTTCCCGGGCACGGTGGACAGGACCGGCCACTAGAGAAGCGAAGGCGGTTAAGCGGGATAAAGAAATAAAGGGGAGATAGGAGGTGAAAAAACAAAAGGAGAGGAAAAAATCGCCGACCGTCCGGACCGCTCGGCCGGAGGGGAGGCCGAGCTCGACCACGATGAAAAGGCACGGCGAAGCCGGGGGCGCAGGGGAGGCTGAGGGACAGGAGGACAAGGAGTAAAATATGATAGCGGGATTCGCGAAATATGAGACCGAGACGACGGGATCCGTTGCTCCGGACGCGGATGCCGTGGCCCGCACAAAAGCCTTATCTCGTCCTTCCCGCCGCCATTTTGGTCCTCCCGTCCCCTGCCCTGGGCTCCTCTGTCCTGCCCGCTCGCGCATCGGCCTGCCTGTAAAAGGATCCGCTAAATAACGTTAAGAGCCTTTTAAAAGGAGATTCGAGCCCGGGGAGAAAAGCCGAAGAAGGAAGCGCGCGGGACTTTGCGCGTTGCGTGCCGATCGCCGCCCGGGCAGGACCCACCTGGTCCCAAGATCCTCTCCTCGGCGTGGTTCGAAATTAACCCAAGTCGCGAAAAGGTGGTCTCGGGACGGTAACGGTGAATTTATAAACAGAAGTCGAGGTATGGAAAAACAGAGACGATATTGAGCACGCTAAGTACGAGAGTGGAGGACGGTGGAACGGAACCGCTGACCCAAATAGGCGTAATTAAAACAATTTCATGCGCACACCCCAGGCTCCATGTGTAATCGTCCACGAGAGTTCTGGCGGAAGCTAGATAATTGCCAACCCTCGGGTCGCAAAGTCATAAAACTCATGTTCGGCTTGCACGACTCCGCCATCCGCGTGAATACGAGACGAAGTCTCGTCTCGCGCAAAAGGGGTGCAAAAGCACGTCGCTGTCCGGACCTCCGGGAAGAAGCGTGAAACAATGTTATCGCGAGCGCGATCGGCGCATCCAGGTGTTCACACGGAACAGGAATCTCGCGGGACCGCCATTTTGGCGAAGGCTTGCGTGAAAATCCCCGAGAACCGGGGACGGAGGACCACGAAAGCGGAAGCTTTCCAGAAGGTCGACGTACGCGTTGGATCTACGTTGAATTACGACTTACTTCCTTCTTCCCTCGCGTATTTCATTTCCCTACAAAAAGTATAATAAGTAGATTAAAACTCGACTAACATCTCGGGGACGCGTTCCTCCGAGGCGCCTCGAACCTTCCGGAGGACTCGACGCGGACGAACACGGTGGTTTCGTTATTAATAACGTCGCTGATAAGGAGATTAATGCATGCCGATAAGCCGTCCGCGGGTCTCTTACGCACCCTCCCTCGGGAATGTCGCATTTTTCCGGGAGACCGGTGCGCGACGACAAGCGCCGGGAGAACGACGCTCTTCCTCGGTCCGCTCGTCCTCGGCTCTTGATATCTCAATATTCAAGCGGAATATACACGTAGTCCAAGAAGTGCTTTCGCGCACACGCGCTCATGCGTTCTCCTCGGGGATGCTGCGAGGCCGCCTATGCGCCGAGAAGAAGCGGTTCCGCCAGCTCTCCGAGGCTTCCACCCGAACGCGCGCGGCTACCGCATGATATATTATTGAAGATGTAGATTATTCCTAGCATTATCCCGCGACTGCAGCCTCCGCATTGTGCCCGTGGACAATGGGGGCCAACCTGCTGCGCCGCATCGCCGCAACCCCCTTCGGGGGTCCTTTCTTCTTGCTCCTGCCCGAGGACTCCGACCGCTTCTTCGGACCAGGAGGACCCACCCCGGCGTGCTTCGTCCGAGACCTCGCGGGACGAATCCTCCGGGTTTTCCCGCGTTCGTAACGTTTTCCTCGTTCCATCGTCGCACAGGGTTGGACCCGGAGCCTTTTTCTCCAAAAGTCAAGATCGACGCGAGCGACCGTCACCCCGTATCGGTTCTCGCGTGCGAATCTTTTGTGGCCGAGTAAACTATTCCTCTCCCGATCTTCCCGCGGTAGTCGCTAGCTGCAAGGGACGAGCTCGGAAAAGGGGAATACTCTCGCTAATTTCCAAGTCCACCAGGTCGAGCATTAACGCTCGACTCTGTCGCGCAAGAAGTCGCTACATCGTCGCGAGCATAAATACGTTAACCGCCCCCATGTACCCGCGGATACTTATGTATTTATGCGTGTATTTACGTACTTTGGTAAATAGCGGGCGGTATATACTGCCCACCCCCCCTCCCCTCGTGCCGAGATTCTATCGGACGTACCTACACGCCTGCTAAGTCTTCTGGACATTTTATCTCGGATCTGTACTCGCAAGTCTTTCCCTTCCTTTATCTCCCTCGGGTCCTGCGCTCTCTTGTTTCCTCCTTCGGAGCTAGGCTCTATCGGTCTCCTTTCCCCCGGGACTCGGGATGGCTAGGCCAGCCTCGGAGAGGCGGCCTCTCTCCATCCAATTAAATTGGTCCAGATTACCGTGGACTGATTGCGCCGACGTCAAAGGAATTTCGAGC